TCCACTTCATGGCGTTGCTTTGTCTCTGAGAATGGCGGCCCCGTGGGCATCAGCGGGCACTCACCGGCACAGGTCCTACCAGGGTCCATAGCAACCTCATAGAGAAACTGTCTCTTAGAATCATCCTCATCTTGAATCGTAGTCGGGCCCCTGTGGGCACCTTCCGGAGACGCCCGCACGGTGGTCTGTCTTGGATTTCCTGCGTCTGTGGCTAGGGTTCACACTGGCTGCACCGTGGTGACACCGTCGGTGAGAGACATCACCAGGCGCTCATCCCCCAGGCACTCCGCCTAATCCTTTGTCTTTTACAAGTTGTATTCATCTTCCAAAAGTAAGACGTTCAACAGCGTTTGTGCATCTGTAAATAACCCAGTCGTATTCTGAGGACGTCGCCATAGGTAGTGACCGTGTTGTTCCAGTTTGACAAGTCTGAAGCTGAAAAGGGACTGTGGGCTGGACACGGCCAGCAGCTTGTCCTGAGTACTCATCCCTTGGAGATGGCCCCAGTAGGAGCAGCCCCCTGGCCAAATCATGCCCCTGTTGGGTCTTCGAAGGCCAGACCATTCCTGTCTTCAGCATGACTGGCAGGGCCCGGTTAGCTTGCTTATGTCTGCTCCTCATTCCTGTGTGCCAGAAGCCTCCGGAGCAGCCTGAGGATTCATTACATTCAAATTAAGTCCTCTTCAAACTTCTCTTCTGAGGCATGGACACCCTTGCTTACCACAGCCTTTGGCTCTTCTTGTACCTTCAACCAAACGTCGTTCCTGGAAGGGTTCGTTATGCCTGCACACATTGACTTCCACCCATTGCCCTGCTTTCTGGCAGAAAGACTCCAAACGCAAGACTGGATGACAATGTCAGTCCCACTTCAGGCCATCCCTCTTCATTCCAAAAGCATATTCATGAATAAACGCCCATCCTTTTGTTTATTATAAACTTAAAGCTACAAGTGGCCTACCCTGCCAAGAAGTGTCCCGAAGGAATAGTTCCCCATATCACACAGCCAGGCCCAGGGCCCAGGCTCCTCAGCCCACAGCCAGACTCCCGCCCAAAGCCCAGGGCTTCCCTTCACTGTGTGGCCTGTCCCCAGCGCACAGCTGGTCCTGCTGACCATGTCCCATGCCAGTCCCCAGCACATGGCGGGTACTGCTGACCATGTCCCCTGCTGACCATGTCCCCTGTCTGTTCCCAGCACACAGTGGGTCGTGCTGACCGTGTCCCCTGCTGACCGTGTCCCCTGCCTGTCCCTAGCATACAGCGGGTCCTGCTGACCATGTCCCCTGCCTGTCCCTAGCACACAGCGGGTCCTGCTGACCGTGTCCCTTGCCTGTCCCCAGCACACGGCGGGTCCTGCTGACCGTGATCCCTGCCTGTCCCCAGTGCACAGTGGGTCCTGCTGACCATGTCCCCTGCCAGTCCCCAGCACATGGCGGGTCCTGCTGACCATGTCCCCTGCTGACCATGTCCCCTGCCTGTCCCCAGTGCACAGTGGGTCCTGCTGACCATGTCCCCTGCTGACCGTGTCCCCTGCCTGTCCCCAGCACACGGCGGGTCCTGCTGACCGTGTCCCCTCCTGTCCCCAGTGCACAGTAGGTCCTGCTGACCATGTCCCCTGCCTGTCCCCAGCACACAGTGGGTCGTGCTGACCATGTCCCCTGCCTGTCCCCAGCACACGGTGGGTCCTGCTGACCATGTCCCCTGCCTGTCCCCAGTGCACAGCAAGTCCTGCTGACCATGTCCCCTGCCTGTCCCCAGCACACAGCAGGTTCTGCTGACCGTGTCCCCTGCCTGTCCCCAGCACACAGTGGGTCCTGCTGACCGTGTTCCCTGCCTGTCCCCAGCACACGGCGGGTCCTGCTGACAGTGTCCCCTCCTGTCCCCAGTGCACAGCAGGTCCTGCTGACCATGTCCCCTGCTTGTCCCCAGCACACGGCGGGTCCTGCTGACCATGTCCCCTGCCTGTCCCCAGCACACGGCGGGTCCTGCTGACCGTGTCCCCTGCCTGTCCCCAGCACACGGCGGGTCCTGCTGACCGTGTCCCCTGCCTGTCCCCAGCACATGGCGGGTCCTGCTGACCATGTCCCCTGCCTGTCCCCAGTGCACAGCAGGTCCTGCTGACCATGTCCCCTGCCTGTCCCCAGCACACAGCGGGTCCTGCTGACCATGTCCCCTGCCTGTCCCCAGCACACAGCGGGTCCTGCTGACCATGTCCCCTGCCTGTCCCCAGCACACAGCGGGTCCTGCTGACCATGTTCCCTGCCTGTCCCCAGCACACAGTGGGTCCTGCTGACCATGTCCCCTGCCTGTCCCCAGCACACAGTGGGTCCTGCTGACCATGTCCCCTGCCTGTCCCCAGCACACAGTGGGTCCTGCTGACCATGTCCCCTGCCTGTCCCCAGTACACAGTGGGTCCTGCTGACCATGTTCCCTGCCTGTCCCCAGCACACAGTGGGTCCTGCTGACCATGTCCCCTGCCTGTCCCCAGTGCACAGTGGGTCCTGCTGACCATGTCCCCTGCTGACTGTGTCCCCTGCCTGTCCCCAGCACACAGTGGGTCCTGCTGACCGTGTTCCCTGCCTGTCCCCAGCACACGGTGGGTCCTGCTGACCATGTCCCCTGCCTGTCCCCAGCACACAGCGGGTCCTGCTGACCATGTCCCCTGCCTGTCCCCAGCACACAGTGGGTCCTGCTGACCATGTCCCCTGCCTGTCCCCAGCACACGGCAGGTTCTGCTGACCGTGTCCCCTGCCTGTCCCCAGCACACGGCAGGTTCTGCTGACCGTGTCCCCTGCCTGTCCCCAGCACACGGCGGGTCCTGCTGACAGTGTCCCCTCCTGTCCCCAGTGCACAGCAGGTCCTGCTGACCATGTCCCCTGCCTGTCCCCAGCACACAGCGGGTCCTGCTGACCATGTCCCCTGCCTGTCCCCAGCACACAGCGGGTCCTGCTGACCATGTCCCCTGCCTGTCCCCAGCACACAGCGGGTCCTGCTGACCATGTCCCCTGCCTGTCCCCAGTACACAGCGGGTCCTGCTGACCATGTCCCCTGCCTGTCCCCAGCACACAGCGGGTCCTGCTGACCATGTCCCCTGCCTGTCCCCAGCACACAGCGGGTCCTGCTGACCATGTCCCCTGCCTGTCCCCAGCACACAGCGGGTCCTGCTGACCATGTCCCCTGCCTGTCCCCAGCACACAGTGGGTCCTGCTGACCATGTCCCCTGCCTGTCCCCAGCACACAGTGGGTCCTGCTGACCATGTCCCCTGCTGACTGTGTCCCCTGCCTGTCCCCAGCACACGGTGGGTCCTGCTGACCGTGTTCCCTGCCTGTCCCCAGCACACGGCGGGTCCTGCTGACCATGTCCCCTGCCTGTCCCCAGCACACAGCGGGTCCTGCTGACCATGTCCCCTGCCAGTCCCCAGCACACGGCGGGTCCTGCTGACCATGTCCCCTGCCTGTCCCCAGCACACGGCGGGTCCTGCTGACCGTGTCCCCTGCCTGTCCCCAGCACACGGCGGGTCCTGCTGACCATGTCCCCTCCTGTCCCCAGCACACGGTGGGTCCTGCTGACCGTGTCCCCTGCCTGTCCCCAGCACACAGCGGGTCCTGCTGACCGTGTCCCCTGCCTGTCCCCAGCACACAGTGGGTCCTGCTGACCATGTCCCCTGCCTGTCCCCAGCACACGGCGGGTCCTGCTGACCGTGTCCCCTGCCTGTCCCCAGCACACGGCGGGTCCTGCTGACCATGTCCCCTCCTGTCCCCAGCACACGGTGGGTCCTGCTGACCGTGTCCCCTGCCCGTCCCCAGCACACAGCGGGTCCTGCTGACCATGTCCCCTGACTGTCCCCAGCACACAGCGGGTCCTGCTGACCGTGTCCCCTGCCTGTCCCCAGCACACAGCGGGTCCTGCTGACCGTGTTCCCTGCCTGTCCCCAGCACACAGTGGGTCCTGCTGACCGTGTCCCCTCCTGTCCCCAGTGCACAGCGGGTCCTGCTGACCGTGTCCCCTGCCTGTCCCCAGTGCACAGTGGGTCCTGCTGACCGTGTCCCCTGCCTGTCCCCAGCGCACAGTGGGTCCTGCTGACCGTGTCCCCTGCCTGTCCCCAGCACACAGTGGGTCCTGCTGACCGTGTCCCCTGCCTGTCCCCAGCACACAGTGGGTCCTGCTGACCGTGTCCCCTGCCTGTCCCCAGCACACAGTGGGTCCTGCTGACCATGTCCCCTGCCTGTCCCCAGCACACAGTGGGTCCTGCTGACCATGTCCCCTGCCTGTCCCCAGCACACAGTGGGTCCTGCTGACCATGTCCCCTGCTGACTGTGTCCCCTGCCTGTCCCCAGCACACGGTGGGTCCTGCTGACCGTGTCCCCTGCCTGTCCCCAGCGCACAGTGGGTCCTGCTGACCGTGTCCCCTGCCTGTCCCCAGCACACAGTGGGTCCTGCTGACCATGTCCCCTGCCTGTCCCCAGCACACAGTGGGTCCTGCTGACCATGTCCCCTGCCTGTCCCCAGCACACAGTGGGTCCTGCTGACCATGTCCCCTGCCTGTCCCCAGCAGGAGTCCTTCTGACCGTGTCCCCTCCTGTCCCCAGTGCACAGTGGGTCCTGCTGACTGTGTCCCCTGCCTGTCCCCAGCACACAGTGGGTCCTGCTGACCGTGTCCCCTGCCTGTCCCCAGCAGGAGTCCTTCTGACCGTTTCTCCTGCATGACCGTGTCCTGCTTGCCCTGACCCCAGTAGGGAGTGAATCTACTGGCCTTCCCGAGGAGCAATCCTCGAGTCCGCGAGCAAGGACCCACCCAGCTATGGACTGGCTCCCTATGAAACTCCTGTTTCCTGTGAGTAAACAGCTAATGCACAACTTCTAATTGAAATGCATAACGAGCAAACCACTAGGGAAAGTCATGGCACTTTTCTGTGGACACAGGCAGTTCCTGGAATTCCACCAGCTTCCCAGATGGGCCGGACCTGCCCGGGGCCTGCCTCCCGCCTTCGTCTTCCTCTTGGCTGGGCAGGCTTGGGAGCTGGTGGCAACAGAGACGCTGGAGAGCCGGCTGGAGGAGGGGAGGTGAGTGGAGGGGTGTGGGGGGGGTGCGCCCAGGGCGAGGGGCCTGGGGAGGGGATTCTGGGCTCGGCCTCCGGCTCCTCCCGCCGCACTGCCAGGCCCAGAGCATGAGCAGGGTCAGGGCCACCACAGGCGCTAGAAAGCAGGGCACACGGGAGACGGGTGAGCGGCTGCCTTCGGAGCTCCAGTGCCCCCTGAGGCCTGGGCCTCGCTCTCCAGGGGCCCAGGTAGCAGGATGAGCAGGATGAGGGGTCGGTCCCACCCTTCCTGGCCGCAGACCCCAGGGTGGGGGCACAGAGCTGATCTGAGCCTGTGTCACACAAGTTCCTGCACACAGGCCTGGGTTCATACACACATGGCCCTGTGGGCAGACGGCTGCGTCCCCTCACACGGGCACTAGCCCTCGCTCTGGTCCACCCTGAATCCTACACACCCACCTGCACCACAGCACTGGGGACAGGAAGGGGGTCGAGGCTGCCCGTGCCGGGCCGACGCCCCGAGCTCTGGGGACAGGAAGGGCGGGGCCGGCTCCCCCCAGTTGTGCTGGGCACTAGGGGTGTTTCCAGCAAGGGTGGGCCTCCTGGGCGGGGAGGATGGCAGGCAGGGCCCTCCACTGCACAGGACACAGGTGGCCTTAGGTGTGGCGGGGCCTGGTCCCTGGAGATCCCCGGCATGGAAGCCATGGGCACCAAGGTTGCTGGGGACATTTTGTGCCCTAGAAGAACTGCCATGGTAGGGGCAGTGTCACGAAATCAGGACAGAGGGCGAGCTGGCAGATAAGATCTTAGCTAGAAAATCTCAGCCTCAGGAGCGCTGCCGCACCTCACCAGAGCTGGCCATTTACGCAAGCTCCCAGCAACGGGTGAATTATTTCTGCTGATGCTGGAGATAGTCAGTGGGCCAAGCGGGAAGCCACGGCTCGGGCAACATTGCCTCGGTCACGTGACCCGGGTGGGTCCTGGCAGGGTTGAGCAGCCCATCAGAAATTCCTGCTTCTCAAAGTAGAGCAGAATGAGCTGATGTTCTGGCTGGAAAGCAGATGCAAGGAAAGAGGAGCCCAGAGAAGAGCCTCCCCGACAGGTGTGAGCTCAGAGGGCAAAGCCGCTCACTCCGGCTGGATGCGGGGAGGGGATGGCCGAGGCAGGGCCGGGGCCGGGCCGGGCCCGGGTGAAGGCGGAGGCCCTGGAAAGCATGTGTGCGTCCTCCTTCAGGAAGAAGGTGGAGCTGGGCCCTGCCACGAGCTACCTACAAATGGTCGTCACAAAGATTGGGTTCTCCAGAGCCCAGGACGTCTTGGACACATTTTAAAACAAATATTAACAAATTAAGCCAAAATCTTAGAATCGATTGCAGTATTTTCACCCTCCCCGCCCCGCAGAAGAGGAGAGTGAGGATTCACCACAGAACAAATAGGCCGGTGGGAGGGCCGAGCATTTGCTTCCTTAAAACACAGCTTCCTCAAACCAGAAAGGACAAGACAGACAGACAGTGCCATGAGAATGGCGGCCTGCGTCTGGGACGTGCGTGCGGCAGGCGTGAGGAGGACAGCAGCTCCCACAGCCACCGGCTGCCCGGGGGCTGGAGGTGGCGTGTCAGTGTCCCGGGGAACAGGGGCACGTGCCCACGGCTGTGCACAGACACGGACACGTGACCACAGACCACGGGGACACATGACCACAGGGACACGTGACCACAGACCACGGGGACACGTGACCACAGACCACGGGGACACGTGACCACAGACCACGGGGACACATGACCACAGAGACACGTGACCACAGACCACAGGGACACGTGACCACAGACCACAGACATGGACACGTGACCACAGACCACGGGGACACGTGACCACAGACCACGGGGACACGTGACCACAGACCACGGGGACACGTGACCACAGACCACGGGGACACGTGACCACAGACCACGGGGACACGTGACCACAGACCACGGGGACACATGAGCACAGACCACAGGGACACGTGACCACAGACCACAGACCACAAACCACAGGGACACGTGACCACAGACCACGGGGACACGTGACCACAGACCACGGGGACACGTGACCACAGACCACAGGGACACATGACCACAGACCACGGGGACACGTGACCACAGACCACGGGGACACGTGACCACAGACCACAGGGACACATGAGCACAGACCACAGGGACAAGTGAGCACAGACCACGGGGACACGTGAGCACAGACCACGGGGACACATGAGCACAGACCACAGGGACACATGAGCACAGACCACGGGGACACATGAGCACAGGACACGGGGACACGTGAGCACAGACCACGGGGACACGTGACCACAGACCACAGACACGGACACGTGACCACAGACCACGGGGACACATGAGCACAGACCACAGGGACACGTGATCACAGGACACAGGGACACGTGACCACAGGACACGGGGACAATGCTCTGTCACATGATGCTGCTCCCCAGGACGCAGCTGGGCGCAGCTTTGCCTACGTCAGTGTGGAGCTTCAGGACAAGCCCACGGCCCGGCCCCGAAGCCGCAGCTCTCTTGCTGCTGTGAGATGGGCTCTCTGGCTTCCTCCTGGTCTCCATCACTGTTCTGTGCTGTTGGAGACGAGGCCTGGCCAAGCAGCCTTCCTGCACACAGCAGGGGAGCTGGGGCACCACGGTGCCCCGCGCTGGCTGTGATGTCAGTACCGGTCTGGGCCGGAGCCGCCCTCCAGGCCAGCCTTGTGCTGGTCAGCGGGAGGTGGAATCTCCTGGACCTTGTCGCTTGAGCTGGCTTCCAACCGTGACCTTGAGCTGGCTTCCAACCTTGAGCTGGCTTCCAACCATGACCTCGTGCCCTCAGCCTCCTGCGTAGCTGGCTCGACGGTGTGAGCCAGTGCCTGGCAGCCCCACACCACCAGCCGGTGCCATGCTGGGGGACGGGGTGGAGAGTGGGGAGCCCGAGCCCAGGCCCTGGGCCGTGATGGGCCGTGAAGAGGTCGGCCAAGGCTGCCTGACCCTCGACCGACAGGAGGCATCCCTGCAGGCAGCATCCCCTAGCAGACATCGAGGGCCTGGTGGCCCGAGCCCCGTCACGATGACCAACTGCCCGGCGGTCCCTGGCCACTGGCCCCGGGTGCTCGGGGCGCTCCTGCTGCTGGCCGCCTCACTGAACACTCAGAGTGGAAGTAAGTCTGGGGTCCCTCCCTGGGCGCTGTGGGGGCCGGGGGCAGACCGGCCTGGGCCCTGGCGGGGAGGAGTGGCTGTCGGCGGCCGCGGGCCCTGGGGACAGCAGAGAGAGCCGCGGAGAGCGCCGTGAGGACCCCAGCACGTGGGTGGGCCGCGGAGATGCGTGTCTGCGGGCTGGGGGTCGGGCTCTGTTGGGAGCCTTTGCTCTGCACGGGCTGGGCCCGTCCAGCAGCTGCAGCATCCCGCAGCCCAGAGCCGGCTGGGCCGGGCCAGGCAGACCGGGCTCTGCGGTGAGCAGGGGATACCAGCACGGCCCCGCCTCCCGCCGTCTGTGTGATGTGGAGCCCATGGCGTCCCCAGGAGGCCCTGACCCACGGGACCCCCCCCCCCAGGCCGGGATGACCCCGTGTGCACCGAGGGCGTGGTCTCCGTGGCCAGGGGTCAGCGCGCGGTGATGACCTGCAACCTCTCCAACCCAATCACCCACATCACCATCCAGCTGAGCGCCCACGGGGTGAACAGGACCGTCTTCAGTGAGGACGCCCCTGGGCACTTCTCCCGGGGCGAGTGGCAGCTCCAGGTCCAGGGGGGCCAGGCCCAGCTGGTGGTCAGGGCCGCCCAGGACAGCCACGCCGGGCTGTACCTGTGGCATTTGTATGGACACCAGAGAAACAGCAGAGTGATCATCCTACATGTTTCAGGTGAGATGGAGGCCAGGGAGGGGCTGGGGAGGGAAGCCGGGGAGGGAGGCTGGGGAGAGGCTGGGGAAGGAGGCTGGGGAGGGAGGCCGGGGAGGGAGGCCGGGGAGGGAAGCCAGGGAGGGAGGCTGGGGAGAGGCCGGGGAGGGAGGCCGGGGAGGGAGGCCGGGGAGGGAGGCCGGGGAGGGAGGCTGGGGAGAGGCTGGGGAGGGAGGCCGGGGAGGGAGGCCGGGGAGGGAGGCCGGGGAGGGAGGCCGGGGAGGGAAGCCGGGGAGGGAGGCTGGGGAGAGGCCGGGGAGGGAAGCCAGGGAGGGAGGCTGGGGAGGGAGGCCGGGGAGGGGCTGGGGAGGGAGGCTGGGGAGGGAGGCCGGGGAGGGAAGCCAGGGAGGGAGGCTGGGGAGAGGCCGGGGAGGGAAGCCAGGGAGGGAGGCTTGGGAGGGGCTGGGGAGGGAGGCTGGGGAGGGGCTGGGGAGGGAGGCCATGGGTGCCCTCTGCCCTCCAGTGGTCACTGTGGGGGGAACTGAGCCATGCCAGCCAGTGATGGGCAGCTGAGCCAGCGGTGCCTGCCGGCCCCGGCTCCCCTCCAGGCACAAAGACAAAGCGCACAGGCGGGGAGCTGCGGCCGTGGACGCTGGTGGGGGTGATGGTCGCTCTCCTCTTCTCAGTCCTGGTGGCCGGAGCCCTGGCTAGGAGAGTTTACACACGCTTGAGCAGGTGAGCCGCAGCTAGTCCTGGTGGCCGGAGCCCTGGCTAGGAGAGTTTACGCACGCTTGAGCAGGTGAGCCGCAGCTAGTCCTGGTGGCCGGAGCCCTGGCTAGGAGAGTTTACACACGCTTGAGCAGGTGAGTCGCAGCTAGTCCTGGTGGCCGGAGCCCTGGCTACGAGAGTTTACGCACGCTTGAGCAGGTGAGCCGCAGCTAGTCCTGGTGGCCGGAGCCCTGGCTAGGAGAGTTTACGCACGCTTGAGCAGGTGAGCCGCAGCTAGTCCTGGTGGCCGGAGCCCTGGCTAGGAGAGTTTACGCACGCTTGAGCAGGTGAGCCGCAGCTAGTCCTGGTGGCCGGAGCCCTGGCTAGGAGAGTTTACGCACGCTTGAGCAGGTGAGCCGCAGCTAGTCCTGGTGGCCGGAGCCCTGGCTAGGAGAGTTTACGCACGCTTGAGCAGGTGAGCCGCAGCTAGTCCTGGTGGCCGGAGCCCTGGCTAGGAGAGTTTACGCACGCTTGAGCAGGTGAGCCGCAGCTAGTCCTGGTGGCCGGAGCCCTGGCTAGGAGAGTTTACGCACGCTTGAGCAGGTGAGCCGCAGCTAGTCCTGGTGGCCGGAGCCCTGGCTAGGAGAGTTTACGCACGCTTGAGCAGGTGAGCCGCAGCTGGCGGTACGGGTGGGACTGTGGGACCACACCTCCATGGTGCAGGGGGTCTGGCATGCTCCACCCCAGGGCCCTGCAGGGCCCCGCTCCCCACTGGCTTCGGAGCAGCCTGGCAGCGGCCACTGGGTCCAACAGCCGAGCAAACCCCAGATGCCGCCGCGGGGGGGGGGGGGGGGGGGGGGGGGGGGGGTCCTGCGGTCCTCATCCTCAGCGGCCCTTTGTCCCCAGGACACCCTGCGTGGCCTGGCCTCGGCAGGTCTGGGCGGGCGGGGGACAGACCCCGCGGTTTCTGGCCTGGCCCTGGCTGAGGGTGCCTGGATGCCCCACTGCCCCTGGGCTCATGCGGCCAGAGCCACCAGGCCCGGGGTGTCCACCAAGTTTGGGCCTGAGCCAGGGCCTCCTCGCTGAGAGCTGAACAGTGACTGTGCAGGATGGGGGTGGGGGGTGGACTCAAAGCCCTGGAGTCCAGGGGGAGGCCTGGGAGGGAGGAGGAGGCCCCGGGAGGGAGGAGGTCCAGGGAGGGACCAGGCCCCAGGAGGGAGCAGATCCCAGGAGGGAGGAGCCCCAGGAGGGAGCAGATCCCAGGAGGGAGCAGATCCCAGGAGGGAGGAGGCTGGGAGGGAGCAGGCCCAGGAGGGAGCAGGCCCCGGCAGGAGGCCCCAGAGGGAGCAGGCCTGGGAGGGAGCAGATCCCTGGAGGGAGCAGATCCCTGGAGGGAGCAGATCCTGGGAGGGAGCAGATCCTGGGAGGGAGCAGGCCTGGGAGGGAGCAGATCCTGGGAGGGAGCAGATCCGGGAGGGAGCAGGTCCCCGGCAAGAGCCCCCCCCCCCCCCCCCCCCCCCCCCCGCCCCAGGGAGCAGGCCCCCAGCAGGAGGCGGGGTCAGGGCAGCCCTTCAGAGCCTGCTGTGGATCCGGTGCAGATGTCCATGGAGCCCTGCCCCCTTCCTGCTGTGCACAGGAGACTCTGCGCCTAGTAGCCGAGGCGGTGCTGGGCCCTGGTGCAGGCGAGCGCAAGCATGGCAGCCCAGGGAAGAGGGGCCTGGAAGCAGCCGCACCCAGGAAGGAGAAGGACGCACCCTGGTCCCGGCCACCTCCCTGCCCCTCTGCACACACAGGGAATCCCAGACACTGGACTGGGGGCCGCCCGGCCCTGCCCACCCCCATCACAGGGCGCTGCCCACCCTCTGGCCACGCGGGGGTGAAGGGGAGGCTCTCCCCGGGGAGGGGCCGGGGCCTCCAGGGGGTCTGGTGCCCCCTGTCTTCTGTCAGAAAGCACAAGCAGGTCATACAGACCCTGTGTCATGTGTCTGTTCCCGTTTCTATGAGGATTAACCAACTTCCATTGCGCCAACGTGAACGGGTTCCATGTGCCAAACCAGATCACACACACACCCTTCCCTGTGCACACACACACCCTTCCCTGTGCACCACACACCCTTCCCTGTGCACACACACCCTTCCCTGTGCACACACACCCTTCCCTGTGCACACACACACCCTTCCCTGTGCATCACACACACCCTTCCCTGTGCACACACACACCCTTCCCTGTGCACCACACACCCTTCCCTGTGCACACACACCCTTCCCTGTGCACACACACCCTTCCCTGTGCACACACACACCCTTCCCTGTGCATCACACACACCCTTCCCTGTGCACACACACACCCTTCCCTGTGCACCACACACCCTTCCCTGTGCACACACACCCTTCCCTGTGCACACACACCCTTCCTTGTGCACCACACACACCCTTCCCTGTGCACACACACACCCTTCCCTGTACACACACACACCCTTCCCTGTGCACACACACACCCTTCCCTGTGCACCACACACCCTTCCCTGTGTCCATCACACACACCCTTCCCTGTGCACACACCCCCTTCCCTGTGTCCATCACACACACCCTTCCCTGTGCACACACACCCTTCCCTGTGCACACACACCCTTCCCTGTGCACACACACACCCTTCCCTGTGCACACACACACCCTTCCCTGTGCACACACACCCTTCCCTGTGCACACACCCCCCTTCCCTGTGTCCATCACACACACCCTTCCCTGTGCACACACACACCCTTCCCTGTGTACACACACACCCTTCCCTGTGCACACACACACCCTTCCCTGTGCACACACACACCCTTCCCTGTGTCCATCACACACCCTTCCCTGTGCACACACACACCCTTCCCTGTGTCCATCACACACACCCTTCCCTGTGCACACACACACCCTTCCCTGTGCACACACACACCCTTCCCTGTGCACAAACCCTTCCCTGTGCACACACACCCTTCCCTGTGCACACACACCCTTCCCTGTGTACACACACACCCTTCCCTGTGTCCATCACACACCCTTCCCTGTGCACACACACCCTTCCCTGTGCACACACACACCCTTCCCTGTGTACACACACACCCTTCCCTGTGCACACACACACCCTTCCCTGTGCACACACCCCCTTCCCTGTGTCCATCACACACACCCTTCCCTGTGCACACACACACCCTTCCCTGTGTACACACACACCCTTCCCTGTGCACACACACACCCTTCCCTGTGCACACACACACCCTTCCCTGTGTCCATCACACACCCTTCCCTGTGCACACACACACCCTTCCCTGTGTCCATCACACACACCCTTCCCTGTGCACACACACACCCTTCCCTGTGCACACACACACCCTTCCCTGTGCACAAACCCTTCCCTGTGCACACACACCCTTCCCTGTGCACACACACCCTTCCCTGTGTACACACACACCCTTCCCTGTGTCCATCACACACCCTTCCCTGTGCACACACACCCTTCCCTGTGCACACACACACCCTTCCCTGTGTACACACACACCCTTCCCTGTGCACACACACACCCTTCCCTGTGCACACACCCTTCCCTGTGCACACACACCCTTCCCTGTGCACACACACCCTTCCCTGTGTACACACACACCCTTCCCTGTGTCCATCACACACCCTTCCCTGTGCACCACACACACCCTTCCCTGTGTCCATCACACACCCTTCCCTGTGCACACACACACCCTTCCCTGTGCACACACACCCTTCCCTGTGTACACACACACCTTTCCCTGTGCACACACACACCCTTCCCTGTGCACCACACACCCTTCCCTGTGCACACACACCCTTCCCTGTGCACACACACACCCTTCCCTGTGCACCACACACCCTTCCCTGTGCACACACACACCCTTCCCTGTCCATCACACACACCCTTCCCTGTGCACACACACCCTTCCCTGTGCACACACACCCTTCCCTGTGTACACACACACCCTTCCCTGTGCACACACACCCTTCCCTGTGCACACACACCCTTCCCTGTGCACCACACCCTTCCCTGTGCACACACACCCTTCCCTGTGTCCATCACACACCCTTCCCTGTGCACACACACCCTTCCCTGTGTCCATCACACACACCCTTCCCTGTGCACACACACACACCCTTCCCTGTGTCCATCACACACCCTTCCCTGTGCACACACACCCTTCCCTGTGTCCATCACACACGCCCTTCCCTGTGTACACACACACCCTTCCCTGTGTCCATCACACACACCCTTCCCTGTACACACACACCCTTCCCTGTGCACACACACCCTTCCCTGTGCATCACACACACACCCTTCCCTGTGTACACACACACCCTTCCCTGTGCACACACACCCTTCCCTGTGCACCACACACCCTTCCCTGTGTACACACACCCTTCCCTGTGCACACACACACCCTGCCCTGTGCACACACACACCCTGCCCTGTGCACACACACACCCTGCCCTGTGCACACACACACCCTGCCCTGTGCACACACACACCCTTCCCTGTGTCCATCACACACCCTTCCCTGTGCACACACCCTTCCGGGTATGTCACAGGCCCCTTTGGAGTAGGCTGGTGTGCCCAGGTCAGGCTGGCTGTAGCGGGTCTGAAAGCCAGGCAGCAGGAGGCCCTGTTGTCCTGTCTGGAGCTCTGGTCACTCCCAGCTCTGTTCTACATTTCTGCTGTAGACTTGAGTCATGTAAATAAGGGTTCAGTGGGAGGTGCCCTGGGGTTTGGTGGATGGTGACTTGGGGTTTGGGGGGGGGGGGAGGCCAGGGTTCGGCGGGGGTGGGGTGGTGACTTGGGATGGGTGGATGGTGACCTGGGGTTGGGGAGGGGGTGACTTGGGGTTAGATGGATGGTGACCCGGGGTTTGGGGGGGTGGTGACCCGGGGTTCGGGGGGGTGGGGGGTGACCCGGGGTTCGGGGGGGGTGGGGGGTGACCCGGGGTTCGGGGGGGTGGGTGGTGACCCGGGGTTCGGGGTGT